ATTAGGGAATTCTGTACATACGGCAGTTTCTGACGACGAAAACAACAATATAACGAAGAAAATACCTCTTGGAACGCCTTCCACAATGAAAGTGAATGGATTGAAGCAGTAAGTGAATTAGATGTATCACATGTATGGAACCGCATAGAAACACAAAGAGAAACAATTTGACCGGTGAAAAATTAATAGCAGGAGGTTAGGATTAGCAGAGGTGAATGGGTACATAATTACCAATTGTGAACTATGACGACTGATGCAAATATCGCGCTCATATCGCGGGCGAATGTCTTGAACCGGTGATTTCGTCAGCTTTCTGAAACTGGAGAGTTTAAGTGGATTTACTGGACGTTGAATTGACTTCAACTAGCGCAATCTGCGTGATGGGAACCAGAAACGTCGAAAACTACTAGCACCCAAGCACACCTTGTATGTTGGGATTCCACACCTTGCATGTTGGAATTCAGAGCGATCACGGTTTATGGCATCCAGTCTTCAAATCAGCATGAAATTTTGTGGAAATTTCTGCCCGGGCCAACATACAAGCTTTTCAGTACGGAAATTTATACAGGGCCACTTATTCTCTTGCTCCTTGCATCCAGCGCCACCTGGCTGTTTTGGTGTGGGCGCCAGACGTTTTCGTAAGCCAGTAGAAGCGAAGTAGCGAAGCTGGTGAGATATGGTGATCCTGTAGAGAAGGCCCCAGGCGTTCTCTTGCCAAATAAATTTGACATTCAGGAAGCTTGTTCAGAGGTCAAGCAACTCTAGCTAATCTATCCCCAGGCACTAAGTTAGATGAAAGTGTAGCTCGAGGTAAATGGTTCCTGCATTTTACACTGAAAATGTTCTCCACATAAATTAAGACCCGAAGCACACCTGCTGCGACCAGCAGATCGGAATTAGTGCAGTTGTTCCCAGTATGTTTGACGAGCACTGGGTACCATGGTTAATTAAGCGCCAATAAGGCTGCGTTCATTAACCGGGTACAGCATCGTGATGTGTGAAATGGTGGTGTAGGTACGATACCGACCCCCCCCCGCCTAAGTTCTCGGTGCTACTACCCCCTCCCCCTCCCCCTTCCCCATCACCTACCTACCATTTTTCTACGTTTTCCAGTTCACCCGAAAATTTTGCTATCGAGCGGGAGGGGGGGGGAGG